TGACGGCCTCGCGCGCGGAGGCCAGTGCTGACGGCCTCCCGAGGGTGCGCTCGCAGGTTCTTCCCCCGTTTCCCACGGGGAACCCCCACCCCCACGGGCGCACCAGAACCTTGCGGTGGGTCCCCCCCGACCTGAAGGTTCCCGGCCAGGGAGCCCTGGGAGCTCCCGGGGCTGAAGGGTGCCAGGGCCTCGCTTTGCAAAGCCTTGTGTGAGCAACAGGGCCGGGGGCCGGGGCCGTGACCTCCGCGAGCCGCCACACTAGCCTTCAGTGACCAGGGCCCCCTTCTGCAACACAAGCCCCCTATTGATTCTCTGGGTCAGCTGGAGGGAAAAGTCCCCCTGAACGGCCGCCAAGGGTGTGGGAGCCGATCTGGACCCGCTCCAGCGCCGGAACCGGGGAGGGGACACTCGCAACTCTTAAACTTTTACGACGGGCTTCAAGTAACTTCCTGGAAATGGCTGTGAGCGCCTGGCAGTCCGGCCTGGAAGCGGCGCTCTGCGGGGCGGGGCTGCGGCTCGGCCAGCCGGCAACCCGGAGCACAGGCCGGCGCTCGGGCCTGGGAGCTTCCTGTGCTCCACTCCACGGGCCCGTGGGTCACAGCACCGCTTAGGGCCGGGGCGCCCCACACTGTGCTGTGAGTCAGAGTGCTTAGTCGAGCAGAGCCATCCGGAAGCTCCTCGGGAGGAGGGTGCAGGGCACTGCACACACGCTCTGTGCGCCCAGCCCCAGGCCGCCACCGGGAGACAGCCCCGGGGCCACCCCCCACCCCCCGCCCCAGGTCTCTTGGGCTGCGTCACGATGGAGGGGATGGAAGGCACCATGCGGGGGGACCCTGGCCTGTTGCTGTCAAGACAGCAGACCCCTAGGGGGCTTGACCAGAGGTCGAGGGTGCACTTGGAACATCCCCATGGACCAGACCGCCCAGCGGGCTGCATGCCAGCGCCCAGGGGCCCTGCCCCTCAGAGCGCAGGTGCGGACACCTTCCCGCTCCGCCAGCAGGAGGCCGGACGTCCCGTGCGGAGCGGTCCCCGCCGGCCCTTCTCCCTGCGTCGGCGCCTGTTTCCTTACCCGCGAGCGAGCTCTTGGGCTGTGGCGGCGCGGGCCTTGCCTTCCTGGGGCCGAGGCCTCTCTCTTTGCCACATGGTCTCTGCGTGTGAAGTGTGTGTTGCGTGAGGTGCACGTCCGCGCACACGCCCGCGGCTCCTGTAGCATCTGCACGTCCGCCGCCTCACACGAGGGCCAGTTCTGTGGGTTCCGGGCCTGCGTCACTCCCTTTCCAGGCGCTGTCTGCTCCACGTTATACATCGTGAACCCACACGCGATCCCCCATGTGGGCAGGGTTTCATCTTCCTGGGTCAGGCCTCCTCTGGGGGTTTGTTAGGTGGGAGGGGTGGGGGTTCAGTTCTTCTGCAGCTTTTCCTCGCCATTGGCAGGACCACCCGTCCCCAACCCCCAAGGCCCACTGGCCCTCCCGGGGTGGCTCTTGGGTCTGCCGGGCCCCACGGGTGGCCCAGGTCTCTGCAGCAGCTGTTTAAAGTGGGGGCTTTAATAGCAGAGGGCCGATTGGGGGCGTCGCCAGCACGGCGGGGTTTTCTGGGGTGTCCTCGTTGTTTAGTTATACCTTCTGCGCCCAGTTGTCCGGTGCCCTCCGACGCCGCGTGGAGAAGCCGCTGGCGTTTTAGTTCGTGGGCTGATGCGGCTGAGTGGAGAGGCGCTCTTCACCGAGTAAGATAATAGCTGCCTTTTCGGAGGGCCGACATCCTATTTCACGTGCCTCCCCCTGGAGGGGCCTCTTTCTTCCAGCCTTGGCGTCTTGGGTCATGTTTCACGTTCCGGTCGCGCTGACCCGTGCGTCCCTCGGGGACGGTGCTTGGCTCCTCGGGGCTGGGAGCGTGTTGTGCGTGCTCCTCCCTGTGTTCACGCTGGCCTGGCCTCTTGGTGGGAAAGCGGCTGGCTTCGGGGCTGGCCCGGAGGGCAGCGAGGCCCCTTCGCTCCCCTTACCATCTCTGCAGAGAGCGGTGCCCAGTGGGTGTCCCTGACAGGAGCGGAGAGCAGACGTGGCAGGAAGGAAGGGTCCCCCAGGGCTGGGCTGGGCAGGGAGGCACACAGGGTGATCACACCGCCTTCAGCAGCTGAGCTTCCCCCCGGCAGCCTGGAGGCACCCTGAAAATTCCGGGGGCGTGAGTCACACGTGGGGTGCCCTTCCCCGTGGATGGAGGCAGGCCGCAGAAGGAGGCGTTGTCCCCGAGGGCCGGTCCTCCTGCCTGGCGGAGTCGGCTCCTTCACACAAGCAGCTGCTTTGCGTTTCTTCTCAGAGATGGCCGACGGGCCGCCGCAAACCAGACCAGGCCCGGGGCGAGGGGCCCGCAGCGCTGAGCCCGAGAAAGGGGCTGCCGCGCTCCTGATCGTCCCCTCCGGAGCCCCCCGGTGGCGTTAGAAGGCAGGGGGCGGTCCTGTGGGGTGGGCACAGGGACGTGGGGCGGGGGCTCGTGGGCCCAGGGAGTCCGGCTGCCGGATCGGGGGCCTGGGCACCTCCTGACCGCCGGCAGAGGTCGCGGCGCGGATTCCTGCAGCTTCCGTGACGCGCGTCTTCTTAAAGACATTTTTCTAAGTCCCCGCATGCTTCTACTAAGATGCACCCTGCTAAGTTGTCAGGTCTTGCCGGGGTCCCCGGATTTCCAGGCTGCATGCCCACGGCCGTAGGAGCCTGCCGCCCCCAGCGAGACCCCCCAGAAGTCCTCAGAGGCTGTCTCATGAGGCAGCGAGTGTATGTGCCCCCCCCAGCCCCTCAGAATCGAAGCTGAAGTCACAAGGAGAAGCTGGGGTCACACGGCCGGCCTTGGGGGATCAGCCCCGCCCTGCACCCGAGTGGAGGAGCGTGTGTGGCTGGGCTGTGGCTGCTCTCGACCCGGCCTGCACTGCCCAGGAGGTGTGGGGTGGGGGGACCCCCCCTGGCCAGTGGACCCTGCTGGGAAACCTGCCTCTTCCCAGCGAGCAGGCCCCTCCGGTGTGCTCCCGGCGCTGGGCAGAGGCCGATGACGGAGGCGGCCATGTGCTCTGGGGGCTCTGCATTCCTTCCTGGTGAGGTAGCGGCATGGAAACCGGCCGTCAGCGTCCTCCCCAGCTCTGAACACGGCGATTGTGTGGCCGAGCCCCTCCCCCTCGGGTGCTGCCTGCGTGGCCAGGCTCCGGGGGCCAGGGCAGGGGGTGGGGGGGCTCGGCTGTCGTCCCTTCCCTGTGGGGGGCCATGTCCTTCGCCGCGCTCCCGCGTGCGGTCACTGGGAGTCCGGGCCGTGACAGACACTGAGACCGCGGGGCACCCCTTCCCCTGGTCTGCACGCTCAGGCGGGGGCAGCCCAAGAGGCTCAGGCCTCCCGGGGCTCCAGGAAAGTCTGAAACGACCCAACCCTGTTCTGCCCAGGGCCGCGTCTCGCTCCCTGAGACCGCGCTGAGAACTGTCCGGAGCGCCGCGTCCGCCAGGTCCGCAGAGCCCGCCCAGCAGGCGGGCTGCCCGGTGTGTACATGGAACCATTTCCTCGCCGTTTGCAGTGGACTCTCAGATGTTTTCCTGGAGGAATAGAAGCTTGGCTCTGGCGCGCTCGAAAGCCCCAGTCAGGAATTCCATTGGTTCTCTGGGAAGCCGCTGTCTTCCCCGCGGCTGCTTGACGTGCAGCTCATCCTTCCAGCACCCCCTGGAAGGCGTCCGCGCACAGTCGGTCCCCGCGGCTCCGCGCAGCTAATGAAAAGCACACGCACCGCGCATGGAGTCCCGTGTGCCACATGCACAAGCCCATCCCGGTCGCAGGGCCATAGCCGCCTTGCCCCGCGCTGCAGGAAGGGTGCTGGTGTGGGGGCACGGTCGCCCCGCGCAGGGCCCGGTGGGGGATGCAGCCGGCAGGGCACACAGAGCCCAGGATTGCCTGCCTCTGCGCTCCCTGGCCCATGGCACCTTCCCTCCGGCGTGGGTCTCCCTGCCCACGTGTGGGTTTGGGGAAAGCTTTTGGGACGGGGGCCTAGGGGAGCTCGGAGAGCGGGGAGCCTAGGCTGTGCACAGTCTGGGGAGAGGGCTCTGCCTGTGCACCCCAATGATCAGTCCTCAGACGCACAGGTCAGGGAGGGTGAGCCTGCGCACCGGAGGGCATCGCCGACCCTGCCGGGTGCGCATCCCAGGCATGCCCTGACCCTGTCCTGAGCTCGCCTGGGTCTCCGATGGGCGTGGCTTGGGCCACCCTCGTGCCACTCACACCCACTCACTTTGTAAGGTACACACCCCACCAGGGGACACCCCACCTGGGAACAGCCCCCCTGGGGAACGGCCCCCCTGGAGAACACCCGGGTCCTTTTGCAGGGAAAACAACAGCTTGGGGTAGCACACTGCACCCCACTGACACCGGCTGGCCTCAGACGGTTGCCTGCTGCTGGCCGCCTCCCACTCTGTGCCGTCGCGACCACCACTTCCTGGGGGTGTGGGCTGCATCCCCTTGGGGTTCCCCTTCCAGTCTGTACTGCTGTGCCTGGCCCTCCTGGTTTCTGGAGAAGCTGGGTTACCATTTGCCTCCAGAGTCCTTGGGGTGGTTTGTGGAAGAAAAGCCGCCCCCCGCCCCACACTGGGCCAAAATAAAGGGAAGCACGTGTGGCGAGCCCGGAGCACGCACCAGCCCTGCACTCCACCATGGTGCGTGTGCTCTGGAGCGCCTGGGCCTGGGGGACGTGCGTTCTGGGCTCCCTTCTCCACTTGGAGCGCACGCAGTGGCTTGGCTGGAACTGTAGGCCGTGGTGGGCACCGCCAGGCCGGTGGTGGGGGCCTCTGCAGCTTCGCCTGACTGTGGGGTCCACTCAGGGTGGAGGTCCCGCCTGGCTGTCAGGAGCGGCTCTGGGAGCTCTGGCGGGGATCCTGCCCACTGTTCTAGCTGGGTGCTTGGGTTTTCATGTGAACTGTCTGGGCCAAGTTTGTGTTCTCTTCCCATCATTAATAAAGATTTTTCTTTTCTTTGCAAAGGGGAGCTGTCATGGAGAATCTAGAGAGCAGTGGCCGTGACACTTGCCGGCCGCACAGCTTCTCCTGCGTTGGGCCCTGAAATTTGTATCTTGGAAAAAAGACAGCGATGCAGCCACTGCGATCAGAGGAGCCACCCGAGTGGCAGCTGTCCTGCTCTCGGGGGATGCAGGTAGGTGGGACGGAGGCGCCCCCTCCTCTTGTGGGCGCACTGGGAAGCTGGCGGGTTGCTGTCTGGTCTTCCTTGCTTGCTGGAGCTCAGAGCAGCCACCTGACACCCCCGCGCGGACGGGTGTTCTCTCTGGGCCTGGGCCCTGCAGGCGCGGCTCAGGGCGCCGGAGCCCGTTGGTGGCAGCGGAGCTTTTGTTCTTAGTGCCTGAGTCTCTTGTGGCGTCTGCCTCTCAGAAGCTGCCTAGGGACTGGCCGCTGGTGCGGGGCCTCGCAGGGACAGTGCTGTGTCCTCGCGACCACTGGGCCCTCGCCCCGCTTCTGGGCCACATAGTTGTGTGCGAGCTCCCCGCGCCCGGCTGTCCGGATGTTCTCCCAGTGCGTTTAGGACTGTCTTTGCGAGGCCAAGCCCCTCCGCCCCCACGCTCGGCCACCCCGCCTCGTTCTCAGCCTCGGGGACTCAGGCGTGGGTGGCTGTGGTCACGGTCACTGTCGCTCTGTCGCTTGCCAGTGCGTCTCGCAGGAGTCTCTGCCGTACTCACGCACACAGGACACCCAGCTCGTGCCCCCACCGTGCCGTGGTGAGGGGCAGTGCCCTCCTCCCTGCAGCCGAGTGGTGCCGCGGTGTGGCTGGGCCGGCTTCTGGACCGTCCTGACGGGCCTGGGGCAGCGCTGGTGTCAAGAGGTGCAGCGTGCAGCGCGCAGCAGGGGGTTTGAGCTGGAGGCTTCGAGCTTTCAGTGCACGCCCAGAGCGGGCTGCCGCCCTGCGGCGTGTCCACCGTCAGTCTTTTAAGGCCCCCCCGGGCCACTTTCCACAGAGGCCTTTCCAGTCATTCCCACCCACAGGCTGGGCCCACCCTCCTCCTCAGCACGCCTTGGGCAACAAGGCTTCCGCCTGCTGAGAGAGGTCCCTGTCCCCGCGTCCCTGGAGAAACATCTGTGCGCCCGGACAGGGGCCCCAGGGCTCCAAGCTGAACGGGGTCTGCCCGGCCCGTGGTGCAGTTCTGGACAACCTCCCACCCCACCTGTGCCACAGGGGACCGGCAGGGCTGGCAGTTGCTGGACGGGTCAGTCCCCACCAGGATTGTCCTCATCGGCGTCGGTGGCAGCCACCCCTCCCCGTCGGTCCTGCTTCATCCAGCGTCTCTGTGAACCGGCCTTTCCTCTCCCCTCCTTTCTGGCGCCAGAAGCTTCGGCTTCTCTCCCAGCATCGTCTGCAGCCTGGGGCAGTGGCGGCCATCCTGCTCCGGCCGGCGGTCCCGGGCTGTGTGAAGAGGGACAGGGAAGGGCAGGGCAGACCTGTGGCTGATCAGTGGCCGGTGTGGGGCCGTCGGCAGGAGCGCGCATCCTGGCGCAGCACTGGGGGTGGCTGGGCTGGGGAGGGCCCGGTCCAGGCTCCTCGTCTCAGAGGGTGGACGCTGGGTCACCGGGTCCCTGTGCAGCCAGGGCTAGGCCCTCCTCCCCCTTGCCCCAGTGGAGTCCCCAGAAGTGCTGGGAGCTGCCTGCGGAGGCACCTCAGTGAGGGGCTGGTCCCCTGGGACGAGGAGGCTGATACGCGCGGCTGCACCAGCCCCCGTTGCATCAGCCTCCCTGGCCTGCCATGCTCGAGTTGGAGAGCCCCACGTAGGGCGGGGTGCAGCCCGTGCGGCCTGGAGTCCTCCGAAGCAGGGGCCTGGTCCTCCAGCCTCCCTCTCCATCTCGCCCCTGCTTCAGGGGCTCCTGGGGGACACATCCACCACGATCTCCATCTGGAACTTTCTTTTTCACACGTGTTGCCTGTTCTGCACAGGAGGTCCATCTTTCCCAGCCTCAAAATCTAGCACAGGAGGCGGAGACACAGCTTCTGTGGGTGCACCGGTCACTCATTGTCAGCGCTGACAGACATGGGCCTTGGGGTCCTCAGCGCCAGGACGGCACCTGACTGACAGCACCAGGCCGTCCTCGCCTGGCCCCCTGGAGCCCTCTCCCAGGATGATGGAGCAGGAGGTCCTGACCTCTCTCTCTGACCCACCACACAGCGGCTGGTCTGGGGGCCCGGCTCCTCCCTCCCACCCGAAGCCTCTGCCGGGCCACCCCCTGACTGCAGAGAACGGCTGTAAATCAGCCTTCCTTCTGGGATATTAAGAAAATCACTCTATTAGCAGCTGACTCACAGTCTAAAAATGTGCTTGTGGCCGTGACTGTGGCCACGGAGCCTGGTTTGGGGGGACCAGCCCGACCTTACTCAGCCGGGTCTTTCTGCTGAGGCCTCTCTTTCCGGGCCCAGAGTGCCCTTCCTGCCCACCGCCACCCTTGCTGCTCCCGCCCACCTTGGCCGAGACCCTGGAGGAGGGTGCCAGCTGGAGAGCAACCAGAGTTGAGCTGAGAAGGAAATGGGCCGAGAAATTGAAATGGCAGGAAGCAGGGACCCGTCAAGCCACGTAGGACTGGGGGGTGTCATGGCCCGGGTCCCCCCGGGCACTCACAGCCACAAGGCACGCTCAGGCACAGGGCGCAGCAGCAGCAGGGCTCATCACACAGGGGCGCTGTGGCCAGCGGGTGTTCCGAGGGCCCGAAGGCTGGCTGCCCTCCCCCCCGACAGCGCCCGCAGTATCAGTCGCCAAATCAGAAGCTGCTCACGCAGGATGCTGCTGTCCCCGTGGCGAGAGCCCGGGGCCCGTGGCTCCTGGTAAGTGGTGGACCAGGGTGCAGCTGACCAGTGATAGCGGTGGTCACAGGGGGCAGGGATCGGAAGGCCAGGCTGGGCGGTGGCAGATGCTGGCAGACAGCTCTCAGGTGGTGCCAGCCACCCAGGGCCGGTGTCGCAGCCCCTAGAGATGCCCGGCCAGATACCCCTACCTGTGCAGCTGAAGCAAGGGCCTCGAGGGTCTGCGTCTTCCCAGGAGAGGGTCTGGGCAGCTGAGTTAAGTGGAAGGGACTGGGGGCTGACCTGCAGGGCCCTGGGTTCCCCACACAGCCTGCTGTGCTGACCCGGAGAGGCCCGGTCAGTGGGAGACCCTTCTTTTTTTTTTTTTTTTTTAAAGGGCAGGTATAGAGGCATGCTTTATTTATTTATTTATTTGTTTGTTTGTTTATACAAGCACTGGGTACAGTCAGAAGTGCGGGAGGGTGAGAGAATTCACCAGAGCCAGAGCGGGGAGCAGAGCAGGCAGAAGGACCGAAGTACACTGCTGAGGGGAGCAGCGGGCGGCAGGAGAGGTCTGCGCGCCATGTGGGACCCTCCTCCGGTGGCCGGGGAGCAGCCTGGGATCGAACCGGCGCCTTGGGCGCGGGCGCTGGCAGCTTCGCAACCCAGCGCTCAACTGCTGCGCCACCGGGGAGGCCCAGTGGGAGACCCTTCTGTCCCCCTGCCCTATGGGATGGCCGGGAGGGACAGGCACACCAGGAGCTAGAGATGTGGTGGGCTCCTGGAGATGTGGTGGGCTCCTTGGGGACTGGGCACCCTTCCCAGAAACCTGCCCACAGGACCGAGGCCCAGCCAGGGTGCTACACGCCGACCCCAGCGTCAGGCCGGGCCTCCCAAGCATTCCAGCGCCTTCTCCTTCCAAGGTCCTTCAGGGGCCGGGCAGTTTGCCCCTCTAGCAGGTGAGAGCTCACCGTGCTGTGCTGTGGACCAGCTGGCCTGGCCCAAGTTCCCTGAGGGCGGCCTGGGGCTTTGGCACTGGGACCAGACCCCAGCGCGGGGCACGGGCCACCCACGGGAGCTTGGGGGAGGCTGGGGCAGGAGCTTGGCCGTGTGAGCTCTGCGTCTGCGGAGCCCCGGCCAGACAGTGTTCCCTGGGCTGGGCCAGCACCGCCAAGGGGACGTGATCTGTGAAGGGTGGGAGGACCCGAAGGTGCCACCAGGCCCGACAGCTGGCATTGGCCGAGAATGGCCACGACCCAGCCTTGGCCAGTGACCGGCCCTGCTGGCTGTGGGAGGTCGGGCAAGCGGGGGCGGGTTCTGCCTTTCCCCTTGCAATCCTCCCGGACATCGGCTGCCCCGGGGGCCGGGCAGGCCCCTCCATGTTCTCAGTCGTTTAGGGTTTCCCCTTAGAGCCAGGCGCTGATGTCCAGTGGTACTGGGCAGACGCCTACAGAGGCCGAGTCTACTGCCCTTCCTCCCTGATACTCCCATCCCCGGGGCCTTGGGGGCTCCCTGCAGCGTCCCAGCCCCCAAGTGCACTACAGAGTCTCTGGAAGGTTCTGGGTCACTCGATCCTTAGGGGAAGACATGCGTGTGGCAAACACCAGTGATGATGTGTTTGCCTGGCCAGAGGGGCTGGGGTCTGCTGCCTGCTTGCTCCTGGCACCCTGTGGGCCCCAGCGGCAGCAAGGACCACCCGAGCACGGCGCCCTGCTCAGGGCCCGTGAGGATACCCGTGAGTGGCTGGCGTGCGCCTCCGTCTGCAGGGGACGAGGGTGGAATGCGGGCCCTGGGGCAGGACAGAGATCGCCTGAGAAGGAGGGAGGTCTGGAGCCGGCATCTGGAGACCAGACAGGAGGCCGAGCCCATTCTTACGCCGTCCCCCGCTGCAGGCGCTGGCGGCCGGGACCCGGGTGGGGTTGGAATTAACCCGAAAGCTCAGAGGCCCGGTGGTCCCCAGCCGGTGAGGCTGGCGTGGGCTGAGCTCGGCACTAGGGCACAGAGAGCCGAGAGCTGGGAGGCGTGTCTGGTGGGGAGGAGGCCCCGCCCTACCGTGAGGCCCGGTGACCGCTGCCTCCCCGGGCTGTGGGCTCCCTGGTGTGCGTGCCCTCGGCGGCTGTTGTCCCACGGACGTGGCTTTCTAGCCCAGCAGTTGGCACAGCCGCGCAGATGTGGGGAACCCGGCCAGGGACGCGCGTGCGTGGCGGAGGTGGCAGGATCATGCCAGCTCGCTTGGCCGCGGTCTGGGTGGTGCAAGGACGGCACAGAATCCCTTGATAGGCTGCTCGCCGCGTCCTGGACGGAGGCTGCCGCTGTCCTACGCCGGTCCCGGCTGAGGTGCGGGCGCCTCGCTGACCGCGGGTCAGGCTCGGCAGGCTGTTGGGGCAGTCAACTCAGCTCTGACTCTTATCTCCCCAAGATGCCATCAGGGGAAGGGTCCAGCCCCCAGACCGCCCTCCACGTATGACACGCTGCATGTCCCATGGTCCCCAGCCTGGCCGGGCCGGCCACAGTCACCGGGCCGCCCACCACCCCTCGTCACTCAGTGTTGCCCTCGTGGCTGCAGACCACAGCCCAGCCCCTCCAGGGCCCTCCTTGTGCTTGGGCAGCAGAGCCGGGAGCAGCTCCTACTCAGAGGAGGCGTCAGCCACCAGGTGCAGAGGTGGGGGGTAGGGGTGCGGGCAGGCACGGGGATTTCTCGCCTCTCTAGGTGACCCCTCCCCAAATCTCCACAGCCTGAGAGCCCCCAAAGTCCTTTCCTCGGCTTCATGGAGATCAGCAAGGGGACGGGAGCTGGCCGCTGGGGGTTGAGCTCACCCTCCCCTCCCAGGAAATCTGGGCGGGTCGGAAACGCTTCAGGATGGTCTCCCTGCAAGTACCCCACCCTCAGATGCTTCCCCAAAGTCTCTTTCATCCACAGAAACGTGACTAGAAGAACAGGACACCCAGGTCCGCACTGGAGGCTCTGCAGCTGACTCAAGGCCGAGAGACCGAGCTTGAGGAAAGCTGCCCCCTGAGCTCTGCAGGTGCCGAGGTTTCTGGGGTCTGGGGGCCATGGGTGGAGGGTGAGGGATGCCCTGGGCCGTCGGGGGATGGGATGTTGTGGAGGTCCTGGGGCGGGTCCACGGCCATGAGCCTGGACTCCACTCCTTGGTTTCTGGAAGGACAGAACGGGGTGAGGGCCAAGCAAGGCCCAGCCCCACATGGCCCCGATAGACGGAACCCCAGGAAACAATATGGATAAACGTAAGAATTGGGAAGGACAAAATCCGGACATGAAAGAATACTTAGCGTGTGACTCCACTTTTGTAATGTCCGAGCAGAGAAGCCCTACTCTGCTGTCAGGCTGCGTGATTATGCGCGACGCGGAGTGAGCAGTGAGCCGAGGCCGGTGGTCACCCCCAGGAGGGCGGGGCGGGGCAGCGGCCAGGAGGGCTGTGGGGCTGTGGCGGCTGCCTGGCGCGAGGCGCAGTGGGCGGGTGCCGGGCCTGGCCACCTCTGCTGTGTCACTGCGGCCTTGCTGGGGACACGCAGCTGGGGCTGGGGTCATTTGGAGGCGTCTTTGCTCACGAGCCTGGTGATGGGCGCTGGCAGGTGGGAGGATCTGAGCTGGGACCTCGGAGCACCCCACGGGGCTGGGCTTTCTCACAGCAGGCGGCCGGGGGCCGGCCCACAGCGCTCCTGGGGCGCGGGACTCTGGAAATGAGCGCACGCCAGCCTTGGGCACCCCGTGCCTCAGCCGTGCTGGCCAAGGTGTCACGAGGCCACCCTGCCTCAAAGGGAAGTGTGTCGGCCTCACCGAGGGCGGGACGCTGGGTCATGCTGCAGCAGAGTGCGAGCGGGACATCTCTCCAAGGCAGCCCTCGTCCTCGGTTTCTGAGTCCTGCGAGCCCTTCCTCTGGGTCGGTGATGTCAGGTCGTGTTTTATTCCGTGTTGCCTTTTGCCAAAAGTCTTTTTTTTTAAAAACATTTATTTATGCACACAAGAGCTGGGGTACAGGCCAGAGGTGGGGGTGAGAGGACTCACCAGAGACAGAGCGGGGAGCAGAACAGGCAGACGGACCGAAGTGCACTGCAGCGGGGAGACAGGAGAGGTCTGCTGCGCCCTGTGGGAATCTCCCTGGCTGGCTGGGATTGAACCCGCGCCGCAGAGGCTGCAGATAGCTTCACACGCTGCGCTCAACCCGCTGCGCCACCAGGGAGGCCCGCCTTTTGCCAAAAGTCTTTATGGATTTTCTACGTGCTGATGTTTCCAACGTCGAGGTTCTTTTCTCAAAGCACACGACCTTTGGTTGCGCCTCTGTACCATGTGTGTGCGGAGAGAACCGGCGAGGCTGGCAGCGGCCCAACGCAGCCAGTGTGTGGGCGAGCACCCCAGGGCTGGGTGCAGAGCAGGCCCAGGCTCCTGGCACTTCACCCCGCAGCCCCCCCCCGCCCCCGCCCCTGGCTCACTCCGGAATAAATGGCCAAAGTGGGAAGCTGAGCTAACACAGCCGGAGCCGGAACACTCTCCCGGGGCCCCGTGCAGGCAGGTGGCTGCGCCCTGCTGGTTCTGCTGGTGGCACTGCCGGCCCCTGGGCTCTGCGGGAGGAGGCGTCCTCAGAGGGGGCAGGGCCTGGGCTGGCTGTGTGCGTCCAAGGAACTGCCGGGGCCGCTCGGACAGCGCGTTCCTGTCCCGTTAGTGTCACGTGGGAGGCGTCTGTTTCCAGGGCGTCTCCCGAAAGCCCAGAGGAGCCAGATGTCCGTGCTCTTGGCTCGCGGGCACGGGGCCGGGCGGGAGTCTGGTTGGGGGTGGGGGCAGCATGTGCTTCGCTGGGGACTGGATACCCTCAATGTGGGGACTGGCTCACCCTGTGGGAGGGCTTCCAGGGTCTCACTGCCAGGCTGGGGGTGCTTTCAAGGGCCCTGGTGCAGCCTCCCATTTCGGAGGGTGGGCGCCCCCTCTCCTGCAGGCCCGGGATGCGAGGTGCCTGCCGACCTTTGGCCTCGCCGCACCTGAGGCTGCTGGGCTCCGATGCGGGGAGGACGCCAGGCCTGGACACGGTGCGGCAGCCGCTCCCTCAGCCGATGAACCAGCTCTTCCCAATCGCCGGCTCAGGGCAGCCCTGGTCGCACGCGGACGCGGCTGGACAGCGAGGCTCGAGCCACAGCTCTGGGGTCCGGCCAGTGCTGAGCCTGCCCTGGGCCCCCTTTCTGGGCGGAGACTCCGGGGGCCTGTGAGTGGCCTCCTGGCTCCTGCTTTCTCCCACCTGGGGTACGAGGCCCTCTTAAGGTTCTGGGCAGCCCGGGGAGGGGCTGGGGCTGGGGAGCAGAGGACGTCGTGCAAAAGCCACGGCCAGCCCAGGGTGCGCCCAGGAGCCCGGGAGCGGCAGGAGGGGGAGGCCCCGGGGACTGTGCTCACACCAACAGTGCAGGGAGCCTCCTTGGCCTGGGTGGGGCGCTGCCTGCGGGGCCTGGGGGAGCCTCCCAGTGCCTCCAGGGCCCGCGTGAGTGTGGTCAGGGATCGGGAGGGATGGTGTGGCGGGAGGGGTGTGGGTGGTCCCCTGGAGCTATGGCGACACGTAGGGACCGGGCCACCATGGGAATCCAGGACTGACCCTGGGCATGGTGGGGGTCAGGAGTGGCTTTGAGGTGGTGTGACTCGGGGTGCAGCAGAGCCGTGGATGACCTTGGCTCATGGGAGAAAAGAACAGGGAGGAATCGGGGCCTCATCAGGACCCCTTGGGCCTCCAGGGTGGAGCTTGGGAGAGGCGCTAGATGTGGGGGCAGACCCCAGGCTGTGTGCGCCTACCCAGGGGATGGCGTGGCATTTTGGGGGACCACACAGGGCCCCCCAGGACATCAGGGAGGAAGCCTGGTGGGACCGCCAGGAGATGGAGGACCCAGGACGGGGAGGACACCTCAGCACCGGCCAGAGCAGTGTCCACCTGCTTTTTAACTATGTCCTGGTTCCCGCGTTGTCTGGGCATCTCGGGGGCCTTGCTGGCCATGGAGAGGCGGCCCCTCTCCAGAGGGAACTGATTCCTGACTGCAGGCTCAGCCGGAACACTCCTGCCACACACGCACAGCCTGTGAGCCTCCCTCCTGAACCCCGGGCCAGGCGTCCCCCAGCTGCCCAGTGCCCCTGGGGTCATCAGACCAGCTCGCCCCAAGATCGCCGTGACCGGCCAACCCACCCGGCCAGCCCACCTGACCACACCTTCCCTCGGACCCTCGCCCTGCTGACTGGGGCCTCCCGGGGCCTGTGAGGAGGGCACCCCCTCCTCTCGGGGACTGGAAATGACACAACCCTCTCCTGGTCCCCCACAAGCGCACTTGTGTGACCCCATCCCTCGCACCACCTACCTGGCTCTGCACCCGTGTGGGTCTCCCTCCTCTGGACTTGGCTCTTGGGGAACCTGTCCAGGGCGCCCCCGCCAGAGAGTGCACTCTGCGCTTTCAGCCTCCACACCTCACCACTGCCGGCCCCCCGCCCCCGCCCCCGCGCCCAGACACTTACTGAGTCTTTCCTGGCTTTTTCCTTAGTCTTTTGGCCAAAAAAATGCCCCAGGATAATGAAGAAATCTATTTACAGTAGCGATACTCAGTCTGGAATGAATTAGCCGCCTGACAACTTCTGAGCATCTTTTTCTGTGGGAGTGAGGTAGTGCGGGCATGGTGATGTTTCAGGTTCTAGTCCCGTGTCCAGAGCCCCCCGCCGGGCCTGCGCCCAGTGCCGGGAGCGCCAGGGCCTGCACAGCACCCAAATCCGCCTGTGCCGTCCCGTGGTGGAGGGTGCTGGCCGAGAGGTGCCCTTGGGCCCCCTTGTGTCCCTCCGGGGCCAAAGCACCCTCCCTCTGGAAGGAGCCACTCACATCTGCTCCTTGGCAGGCCCGTGCGGCACCGGGCTGGCGGGCAGCAGGCGCGTCTGTGGGGACGTGCTCGGCCCTCGGTCGGAACAGGACTGTCTTCATCTCGGCTATGCTTCTTTCCAGCCTGTGACGCTGCTGTGCCTCCCCAGGGCCTTGTTCCGCGGCGGCCCTGCCTGCCCCCTGGGGCCCCTTGGCGGGCGGGAGCCATGGCCCGGAGGCAGGGCAGCAGGCCATGGAGCCCCTCCGCTCTGACTCACCGTGGAAACGTCCTCCTCCCAGCAGCCCTCTTGGGTTCCCCGGCCCAGGCCGTGCTTGTGCAACACGGCAGATCGGGGTTGTGTGGCGGGAAACCCGGCTCCCATGTCCACGAGGTCAGGCCCGCAGTTCCGGCGAGGCGCTGGGCCTGCCGGCCTGTCTGGTCCTGGCATCTGCCCCGGACGGGCTGCTGTCCACTCAGGGCTGCCGCGGCCAGGGTCCTGGCTGCTCCCAGAAGAGCTGGGTCACTTCCTGTCTGCCCCCGGGGCCTGGGGGTGGACATCTGCGTTGAGGGGAAGCCTGTTCCGTCTCAGGCCACCGTGTGGGCACTCGTGAGCCGAGCACCCGGCACTCTCCCAGGGCTCGTGTGTCCGGACACGCCCGGGCCGCCGGGTCTGTGCCGGGGGTGGGTAGACGGCACAGGGGACCCCGAGGCCCACACAGCAGGCGTCCTGCAGCTGGTCCCTGAGGCAACCCCAGCCCGAATGTGACTTTGGGGTCACTTCAGGGGTGTGTGAGGCAGGAACCGTCTCCCTCTCCGGGGACTGACCCCACCTTGGTGTGTGCTGCGGGGAGCCGGGCCAGGCTCGTGTCTGAGGGCAGCGGTGCCCAGCCACAGCCCCCGGGCATGCAGGCCTCCCCGTCCTCCCTCAACTGCTGGTGTCCGCCCAGCTCCTGGCCCACAGGGTGAGCCCCAGAACCCAGTGCCCCAACCAGGCCCCGACCCGGGCTCACTGTGAGGGCCCCGTTCACGTGACTCGCGTCCACCGTGACGAGGCTTGGTGAGGATGATGGTCCCGGGAAATCCGAGGCCCCCCAGCAGCCCCTTCTCCAAGTCTGCTCTGGTCGGACCTGGCCCACGTGAGGCAGCAGCTGA